GAAGAGCCCATTTCCCCCTTCTGTGTCTGTGCATGAATGAATTTCTGCACATGTGCATTTGTCTATCATCTGATTGTAAACCATCAGTCTGATGAATGAGCGTGCGTGACACATGCTAGTGAAAAATAGTAAATTTTCTCCTTCACTGATCGCATGAGAAGTTCAGTTATTGTCAATGACTTATATTGATCTGATACATTGATCTTAGTATTCATGTGAGAGTGGGGTTCAAACAACCGTGTCAATATTACCTAATTCCTCTCATCCTCCATACACACACCAGCTTGCACATGTGCAGCAGCAGCAGCAGCATTTTGGCCTTAAACCTTTGATGAAGAATCACCTGTATTTTATCTGTATCATTAAAGCATATTCTCATACTGCTTTCTTTCATTTTCATTTGTGGGCCTTATTTATATCCTTCCCTCTAGCCCCTGTTTGTCTCAGATACAAAAACACAGCTGTGCTTCTGCATTTAGAGTTATAGCGTAGGCGGGACAAGTTGGTCTGCTCCTCATATTACTCTGCTGTAAACACTCAAAGCCCTGCAGGACCCATCGCTTCTGCTTGAGCTGCTCTCAACTTGCACATACCCACACCCACACATTTGCACATTTGACTTGATTTTCTAGAAGGTGGTTGTTCACAAGACCGACTGTAACTTCACCTTACTTATCTTACTATCACTTCCATCACTTACAATCACACCGCTATCATTAGAAAGCAGAATTTTAACAAAAATGAATCCTTACACCAACCATGCAGCTGTGAAGTGGAGGTAAAGTTCTCAAGAGACACCATCAGATTATAATTTGAGAGAACTATGAATGTTAAATGTTGCCCATTATAGCAGTAGAGGTGGAGGGTTGTTACAAGACCGTTCATCAGGTGACTCAGAGGAGTAATGGCTAGTGCAGTGCTCAGCTTTTTCTCCCTTACCTACTTTGCTGACAGACACCAAAAAAAAAGCCACACTGTTATTTTGCAGACTAGGAAACAATACATCTAAACAATCTCAAATGTGCTGTGGGGGCTGTTCTTTTGATTTGATTTGATTTGATTTATTCTTTCAAGCATGTAAAGACAGTTGATATGACAACACACATAATTTTACACATATCCAACAAATGCTAATCCAATATCAATTTGCTTATACCTAGTACATGCTTGAATGGAGTAGGAAGAAGTCAGACTTATCCAGTCCTACCCCATGACATCATCTTACCATCATTGGTTTGCAAGCAATAAATGATTCACTTCTATTCTCTTCTACACCACACAAGTAATATACTAAAGAATTAT